CTCATAACTTTTGGTCATAGGGCTGAAACAGGGGTCAAAATGGCTTCGGGCATGGGTCATAACTTTTGGTCAAAAGGCTGAAACAGGGGTCAAAAGTCATGCCCCAAGTCTGAGAAATGCCTGGGAAAGGGCCTAGGGTCAAGGGGTACCCAGGGCTGAGCCCACAACAGCAGCAGCCAGAGGCCCCACGTGAGGTAGGTGACTCTTGGGAAAGCAAGAGTCAGACCAAGCACGGGACAAGCAGGCCCAAAGTCAAAGTCAACCCAGTAGTCAGCCTCGGCCATAGATCAGATGCACATCAATGGCTGTCTGCAGGTATCTGGAAGGTTCCAGTCCCGATCGGGAAAAGGTACCGCTGTGTCAAGGCTGCATCCAGGCCGTCGATATCGGGCAAATCTGAGGCCTCGGCACCGCCATTAAGGGAAGACTGGTCAATTCTAAGAAAAGGTCAGTCAGACCAGCGGGGAGGGCATTCTGCCTTGCGCTGGCTTGATGCTAGTGCTGCGACGCGAGGGGAGGGTGCTGGAGTGTAATGCTGGTGGCAGATGCTGCTGGAGGGTGCCAGCCTAGAGGGGGATTGTGTTGACCCGGCCATAGCCGCCATAGCTGTAGACTAGGCGATGAGGATTGGCAAGGAGGAGGAGGATCAGGGCAGTGAGACTGGTGGGAGATGAGGGGAAGCTTACCTGCCGGCGACACGTGTGATCTGCTGGTCTCCGCGAAGGTGAGGAAGTGCTGTGCCATCCTCCATATCTTCTTGCTGACGTGGAAGGAGGATGGGCGCCTTGTAATGATCTGCACTGTGATTATGTCAGAGGACGTCAGTGGGGAGCATGCACTGCTGAGGTGGCAGGAGAGGAGAAGCCGAAGAGGAAGTGGCAGGAGAGAGACATACATGTATTATTTGATTTTTATAGAGACTCTCCTCGTCCTCTCTCTCTTCTCTCTCTCTCTCTCTCTCTCTCTCTCTCTCTCTCTCTCTCTCTCTCTCTCTCTCTCTCTCTCTCTCTCTCTCT